CCGTGTCGATGGGCATCGAGCCATCGGCGATGTTCTTGGCGCAGTTTTCGTTGTCGTACACGCGCGTGTTGTCGCACCAAAGCTCGCACGGACCCTAATCACCGATCAGAAGGCGCTGCTAACCACCACACAAAGCAAGTACCTCGTGCGACGGCGTAAAGCCTTCGTTGTCGCCGTGGCGCCATCGGACGACACTCGGGAGCGCTTGGGGTTTGGACGGGTCGAGCTTGGTGATGCCGCACTCGCCGCCCGACGGCTGCGACTCGATGAGGTCTTTCAGAGTCTTGAAGCGACTGGCCTTGAAGTGCGTTGTGAACGCGGCCGTGTTGTCGCCGGGGCTCTTGTTGTACGTGTCACCAGGCAGCAATGATGGGCCGTCGAGGGTGGCACAGAAGCGCGTCGGGTCGCTGTTGGGATCGACAAACTGAACGGGCGGCGCGACCAAGTGGCCATGAGCCATCGTATCGCGCACGGCGACGGCCGAGAGAACTGTGAGCACGACCGACACGACGAGTTGCATGTTGGGAATGCGGGAAAAAGACAGAATGAACCGTTTATGATTCAGGAGGATAATCGCTGGCTTGTTTGCCTGGATCCATGTATATCGCTTTGCATGTAAAGACGATCCGGTGGCGATCACCGTTGTGCTCTGAACATCGCCAGCAAATGGACTTGTGTAACCGCTGGACGACATGTGTTTGGCGCATCCTGTGGTTCGAACGTGCTGTGACTACACATGCCCAGTTGCCATGCTTACAGCACAAAGCGATACGGTATGCGTGGCGTACCGAGGCCTCGAGGCAACAACTCCTGTCAACAGTGAACGCAGACGGCCTTTTGAAGACAAGAACCATGGAACAAGGCATAAAACGACCGTTTTTGTGGAAGAAATGACGATATTGTCTAGCCTTAGAATCAAAAATTGCTTGGGAGTGTGATGGATTGGAGTCTGCTCCTCGAGGCGACAGCTTTGAAATGAGAGGAAGCGCGGCCAAGCGGCTTGTGAAGTTCGTGGCGGTTCACGCCCATGGGTCGCTGGATTAAGAAGGAAGCCGATGGTGTCCATCTTCTTGAGGCGACGGCAAAGTGCGAATTAGGATAACCTCACTTGAATGCTCTGGATCTCTCTACTCGATGAAGTTGTTTTCTCGGACCAATACAACCGATACTGCCTAGAGTTTGGATATCGGTACATCGGATGCATTCGGACGCCCTTGTATCGACTTCTAGCAGCGCGGAGAGTACAGTATACTAGTACTCAAGTAGTGAGGAACAGACACGTCAGATACACTACGCTTGGTAGCGAAATTATAGTCGAAGATGGAGCTGAGGCTGAGAGCTCTCAGACACCGCCCGTGTGGACGCAGTGGTGAAGGTAGTTGGACACTCTACGTACACATACAGTACATGTGTGTTTTCGTACCGTACATAGTACTCGCGAGTGCAATTGAGGACGCAATCCTAGACTTGCAATTTGCAAGTCTAGGATAGCGTCCTCGACAAAAGGTACACACATATATATGTATGAACGTGTTTCGCGTTATCTTTAATTTTGTAAAGATTTCACATACGTAGAGTCTAGCAATCTCCTTCTTCATTCGCTCGCCGGGCCGTGGCTGCGCAGGCGGCGGCGCGGGGTACATACACAAACAAACGAAACGCAGTGCGAATGCCCCACACCGACGACATTGCTCACGGCGCCATCCCAGCGCACCATCCTCGCTAGTAGAAACGCTCCGAAACAAACGCACTCGGCACGTCCAGTGCACGGCTGATCCGAAGGTGCGGGTGGTGTTCGAAAGATTGCTCTTTCAAACCAGATGTTTTGCCATCAACGGCTGTAATGCGTCGACGTTTCCTGATCAAGTCACTTCGTCGCGGTAGAGATGCCTCGAGCGCTTCTCTGTCGACTAGGGACGCATAAAAGGAACGACTTTTGGCTGTGTCGTGCCATATGGTACTGCGGTGCCAGCCACCACGGTCAGGTCGCTATTTCGGGTAGTAAACACAGTCCGGTGCACATTTCCCTCCTGTTCATCATCGGCCGCGAGATGCTCGGTCGGTCGACCGCTGGTAACCTTCACCGTCGGGTGTGACACCGACGTGGGACGAGGACACGTCGGGGTAGTGTATCTACAAAAGTGAGCTATCGCCGTCGGCCAACGACTTCGCGGATACGAAAGCATTCAAAGTTGCTTCGGGCAACGTAAACCGAAACTAAATTCACAGTCGAATTTGCGTCGCAAGCGAGCAGCGGACTTGAAGTCACGATTCGCGCAAAAAAGTCGATTGAAAAAGACACGATCGACCGATGCTACAGCCAGTGCGTGGCCGAGTCATGCGTGTTGGGTGACGACAGCGCAGCTACTCGTCCACGAAGAGAACGGTGAAGTCGCCACGCAATTGTAGGCGGTTGCAGTAATGTTGTTAGTCGAAGGATCGAACGCGTGACGCGTGCATATGGCTTCGTGCGGACAAGCAGGTATCGACGGCGTCCATGCGTTGTCGGTTGGCGCGTGTCGGTACTACCGACTCGCGCCTTGATTTCTATTCACTGGTACATCGTTGTCATCGTCCAAGCCACTCGATTCCACTTGCCGATGCTGTAGTAAGAATGATCGAGCTTGTTTCACAGCTGTGCGAGGACATGGGCGTGACCAGTGGACGTTCCTATCTATATGCATGAAACGCCCGAGGATGGAGGAGACCAGGTCATTGGTGTGGTGCTGGCTCTTCTTTGTCGTGCTTCTGTGGGTTTTTGGTTGACGCCCCGCGCAGCATCGATGCGTTGACGTGTGAGATAAGACGACACCAGCTGGCACTGGCGAAGTGCGCACAGACGCCGCAGCGACACTTACCATGTGCCATATGTTGTGTCGTCCACGGCCAGGAGCGTCTCGGTGCTCACTTTTCCTTTTTCCCTATCTATCTACCATGAAGATTGCGTCCCTCTTCGCACTCTCGAGTAGCTTGGCCAACCTCGCGTCGGCCGCCATCTGCGCCGGCGTCGCGCCCTACTCGTACCAAGTCGCGGTGCAAACCGACGCCAAGTTTGCTCCGGCCATCAACGAGCTCAAGAAGTACCCGGTCGCCACGTGGTATACGGACCGCGGCGGCGACTCGATCGACGCGCTCATTGCCGCTTGCCCAACGGACACGCCCGTCATCATCGTCTATGGTCTGCCTGGGAAGGACTGCGATGCGGGCTACTCGGGCGGTGGCAGCAACACCAACACCGACCAGTACAAGGCGTGGCTCGAGAAGCTCACGACCAAGGTCGGCAGCCGCAAGGTCATCTACATTCTGGAGCCGGATGCCATTGGTCTTCTTGCCAACAAGGACTGCGCGGCGCAGAACGGGTACGCCGCCAACCTCCAAGTGGCCATCCACGCGCTTGCCGCCAACAGCAACGCGCAGATCTACGCCGACGTGGCCGGGTGGGCCAACCAAGGCAAGGCGGTTGCGATCCTCAAGGGCTTCCAGAAGCTCACGGGTATCGCGATCAACACGTCTAACTATAAGAGCACAGGCGAAATGAACCAGCTCTGCGAGACGTACTCGAGCCAGACCGGCGGCCTCCACTGCATCATCGACACGTCGCGCAACCACAACGGGTCGCCGCAGAACGAGTGGTGCAATGCCAAGTCAGCCGGTATTGGCGCACCACCGACAGACAACACGGGCAGCAAGGTGGTCGACTACCTCCTCTGGCTCAAGGTGCCCGGTGAGTCGGACGGCCAGTGCTACGGCCAGTCGTCCGACTCGAGCGTTGGCCCCGGCGCCGGTCAATTCTTCCCCGACGGCTTCCAGCGTCTTTGGGACCAGAGCTATTTCGTAGCCCATGGGCTCCCCAAGATCGGAGAAGCGCCGTCGCCTTCGACCCAACCGGCGCCATCGCCGAGCCCGTCGACGGCCAGCCCTACCGCCGCTCCGACAGTGTCCCCGACGGACGCGCCCAAGCCCTCAACGCCGGCCCCCACTGATGCCCCGACGCCGTCGACCGATGCCCCGACGCCGTCGACCGATGCCCCGAAGCCGTCGACCGATGCCCCGAAGCCGTCGACTGACGCCCCGACACCTTCTACGGCGTACCCGACGCCGCAGCCCTCGTCGTCGACGCACCACCCGACGACCAAGCCCACCAAGAAGCCGACCTTCCGCCCGACGACCAAGCCCACCAAGAAGCCGACCTTCCGCCCGACGACCAAGCCCGGCACCAGCGTCAACGAGTGGGAGCAGTGCGGTGGCAAGAGCTACCACGGCTCCACGGCGTGTATTGACGGCTGCAAGTGCGAGTTCATCAACGAGTACTACTCCCAGTGCCGCCCCGTGGCCGCGTCGACCAGTGAAGTGGCGCCGTACGGCCGCTGCGGCGGCATTAACTACGCCGGCGTCACCACCTGCAGCGGCGGGTACACGTGCAAGGTCATGAACCCCCACTATTCGCAGTGCGTCCGTGACACGTCGTCGTCAGCGCACGATGACGACGACACGGGCTCACAAAGCGACGACGGCAGCTACTAAGCGTCGCACATCAGTATCCATGTCGTGTGTATAACTCGTGTATTAATTGTCCTCTTTTTGAATGCGATGGGCCTGTCTATTGTGCGACATTCGTGATGTTAGATTAGACAATGTGTCTAGTGGTGGATCATTTTTGCTACTCC